GAGCCCCCTCGGGGGATGCTAAAAAGGAACATCGGCTCAGCAGGAGATGGAGCCCGGCTGCCGAGCAGCGAGGGTGGGGGACAGGGCAGTGAAGCAGGGCCTGTGCCTTTCCTGGGATGGGGGTCGTCTTTGGGTGGGGTGGGTGTGGAAGGTGGTGTGGCCTTACCTGCTGTGGCATGAGGTGGTGTAATCTCTTCGGGGTGGAGAGGGATACGCTTCTTGCCAGCTCCTACCGTCTGTCTCTGTCCTGATGTGAAAGAATCATTTCTCCCAGGCTTTGATCAGAGCACCGCTGCTGGAGGATGAAACATGTATTTACTTTCTAAAAGTATGTTTTTGTAGTCGTTAATACAAAGAAGAATTGCCTTTATAGATAAAAAAAGCTAATCTCTTAGGAGGGAGAGCTTTCCCCTGAAAAATGGAGAAGGGACTGTTCAGGAGAGCTGCTGGAAATGGGAAAGGGCTTATTGACCTCTTTTCTTTGGGAGGCAGAGTGAGCTATGTGTTTGACTACTGAGGTGTCGATTTGTCCATCCCGATAGGATCTGGAAGAGCAGCTCTTCTGCTTCTTAGGAGGCAAGTTAGGACAGATGAATAGATATTTCATTAAGTTTTCTTCAAGTTATTCTGAGATATCAATCTTAAGGTAATTTGCTGCTTGAATGGTGTTGACAAATGAATTGGAAATGCTTATTTGAAAGGTATGCTATTAAAAAAAACCCTCTTCAGTGGGACAGGCATTTCTTCCATCAGACTCAGGGGGTTGGAGGTATCAGGATTAGAATATTTTACAGGTGAGATTTCTTCCCTTTTCCCTTAAGATTCCTGAGTATGTGTGAATTTTTATTTTAATTTTATCTTTCCCTGCAAGATAAAAACTAATGAAGCAGTCTTCCTGTTATTGGTTAAAAATATACTTATCTAATCTAAGAAGTTAAAAGAATCTGCCTGTCTGTTTTTTGGGTTTTTTTTGTTTGTGTGGTGGTGGTGTTGTTGTTGTTGTTTTTCTGTATCTTGAGGGACAGAGAATCACAGGTCTGATCCCTGAGTAGTTTCTTGGCTGAAAATTTGTGGCTATTGAACTCCTGGAGAACACTGGAGAAACGTACTGGGCCCTGTGCTGATCTGGGCATCACAGTATTCAGGATCTTTGTCTCAAGTTTCACCAATTTCTTGTAAGTTTTGTTAATTAAGCACAGCATTATTGTGAAATATTCATGCTAGCTCTCTTCCGGTGGGAGCTGAAGTTCACCATATTGCTAAAGAGCCAAAGGCAGGATGCTGAATTACTTCCTATTCTGTATTGTCACATACTTATATTGACATTATAGCAGTGATGGCATCGAGAATGGTAGGGGATTTGTGCTGCTGCAATAAAAAGGCAGTGGGGTATGGAGGTCAGGCAGGTTTTGTTTTACATTTTATGGTCGTTGTTCCAATGGGTAAGGCTTTTATTACATGTTGGTCTTGATATTTTACTGAGAAAGGAAGGTGAATTTTTTTCCTTCAGCATTTTGCTTTTTTGAAGAAAAGCTGAGATGAATTCTTTGTCCTATTTTGGCTTCTTTATTTCAGGTTAAGGGGCAGGAGCACGATGAAGGGGCTGTGAAAGCTTTGATCCACCTGTGGGATGAGTTCAGTAGCACAGGAGTGGCAGCAGCAACGTGGGCTTGGCTGACGTTTGATCCCAGCCATTCGATTGTGCAGGCAACTGTTTGCATGGCTGCACTGCGTTCTGGATCAGGAAACAGTCAGAATTTAAAATACAAATATTTTACAGGGGCCTGGGACCAGCCTGCATTTGAAAATGGGGGTGGGAAGCAGGGCTGCTGTTGGGCCTCTGCCCCATCCCTCCCTGGTGGAAAATCCTGTGCTTGCTCTTCTAAAGGACTGCACAGGAACTCATCCTCCAGGCAGGAAAGATCCTGAAATGTGTTCATGAAAACCAGCCAGGCTTTAATGCTGGAGCTATAAGCCTCAAAAAATAGAAAACAGAAACATGAAACTTTCTGAATTTGACAGGAAAGTGCTTCAGACAGGAGTGCTAAGCCTGGTTAGTGAGTAAATGAGTCCAGAAAGTGAAACTAAATTAACAAAAAATGCTGTTTCACTTTTGTAGAAGCTTACCAGTTTGAATACAAAACCAATTAAAAAAAATGGATTTTGAATATACATGAAACTCATTTTAGATTTGGGATTAATAACCTGTGTTAGAGTTTCATTTTACTTTGAAGCATATTCACGAGATCAGTTTGAGTCCTGATATTCCAACATGTTAGAAGATTGTTCTAACCATAAATCGGAAAGAAAACATCTCTGACTTAAGATGAGCTCAGGCTTTGTGAATATTACCATATCATGTGTTAAGCTGCTTATTTAGTCTTTGTGGTGGAGTGAATGCTGATACATACATATTTTATCCAAATACGAGTATTTTAATGCCTATTGAGAAGAAAATATTTTTGACTGAAAAGCTTGATTAGCAGTTGAAAGCGAATGGTTTTTTGTTTATTCAGCCATTATCATGTTTGAATAAAATGAAAGTGAGAATGAGATCTTCTGATTCCAAAAACTTGAAGAGCTGAGGTCAGATTTTTGTGTTGAAAAGGCAGGCAGCTAAATACCCACTGCAATTTCCAGAAATGCTGAGTTCCTACTGTTACTTTATTTTATTCTATAATAGGATGCATCAGTCAGGTTGCAACAGGCGTTTGCCAGGATCTAAACAGGCAAAACTAATGGGAAAATGATGAGGTGGTTTTTTGTTTGGGGTTGTTTTTTTTTTTACTAATTTTCTGAAGAATAAGAGAAATATGAAGGCTGCTGTGTGGGAAAGAGGGTGGTCATGTTTGGTTAGAGGTGGGGTGGGAGAAGTAGGGACATAGATTTTGATTGGCATAACTTGGTTTATTTAGAACTAATTTTAGTTCTGAGAGGGGGAGATGAACAAAAGCTCCTGGCTTCTGAAAAGGGAGATCCAGCTCCTGCTGCTGCTTTTGTGTAGGTGCTCCCTGAACTTCTACTGCGGGTGGCTTCAGCTTGATAGCTTAGATATAAGTGAAGAGCTCCCTGTGAGGTGACCAGTGGTACGAACTCATGAGAAGATCCAACAGAGTAGAGCTGGAGTGAGGGATGGCATGGGGCAGCAGAGCTATTCATGGGGATCTGTGAGAGGGTGCTCTCTTCCTTCTCCCAAAAACGTCAAGCCATGAGCTTGACACATGCTCCTCACACAGTGTCCATGTCTTGAGCAGCTCTGACCATTTGCTGTTGCTGTTTCTCCCAACTCTCGAGCAGGCAGTTGACCTCCTTCATGCCAGCTCCTGGCGTTTCTCACCCCTCAGTGAGGTTATTCAGCTTTCTGACCTGCTGGAATGGAAACTGAAGTTCTTTCCTTCTGCAGAGTGAATTTCTGTGGGGTTGAATATATGAGTTGGTATCCTAAGGTGTCAGGCCAGGATGGGAAGCAAGAAGCTGTCTTGGAGAAGAGCAGGACTGCTTCTCTTCTGGGATTGGGGGAGTGATTAAATGGACTCAGCCTGATTTTGTTGTTTGGTTTTCTGAAAGTTTAGTTACTTTTGACCCAAAATCGGTTTATTAACATTGTGTGTCATTGCTGTAATAAGTCATCTTTAAATTCATAACGTCTGGTAAAGTTTTCCTTTTTTTCTGAGTATTATGCTTCTCTCAGTTGAAGAGTTTTAAACTTTGTGAATGTAACTGAATTCTGGTTTTCATAGGCAGCTTGAAACAACTTCAGGACATAATTTTTAAGAAATACGTGATCCAATAACCATTCCTATGTAACCTTTTTTACATTCTTAATCTTAGTTTTTTTTATGAAGCTGCACTAGTACTTTAAAACAATATGCATAAATGCGTAGTCTCCCCTGTAGGAAGCAGTAGTAAAGTTAACATGATTGCCAATGTGGTTGCAAATTGAGATGTTTTAACAGTCGGGTAGGACAGAGCTTTTCAGTAACGTCTGGATACAAAATAAGGTCAGAATAGATTAAATCAAGGTTTGCTGCTGAC